TCAAGTTGCTTGTTATGTTTCTTGCATCAAGCTCCGCAATTTGATATTCATGCCATAGGGGTGTTTAATGGAAAACATAATGATATCAGTTTGCTTATTTTGATACCCATATTGAAAGCATGACTTTGAAAAGTGAACATCGTCATTTTGTAGCGTTCGCTATGTTAGATTAAGAATGACACCACTTTGCTTATTGTGTTGCTCTCATCAAGTCATTTTATTTGAAACCCATACCCTAGTGGTTAGTTACTATGGCAATGATAAATTGCCATTTTGTAACACCTGTCATATTGGATCCAAAATGACGGCGGTTAACTCGCCTCACTCAAACCAAACGTGTATATAGAATTTTAGCTCTATTGGCTAAGGTTACGGGTTCAACATTCAGTTCCAAGATTTGCCCCACACATACTAACAAATAGGTCAAGCGAAATAAAGGCTTCTAAAAACAAGCATCGCGATCACAATACTTGCTAGCCAATTGGCCTGGTAAGTAAAAATGTAACTACAATGATGCATATCCGATCGCGTCACGTTCCACGAAGAAGGTAATGAGAGCAATTTGTGGGGTCGGTCGTGCCCAGGCACAAAATTTTCCTCAGCCTTCTTCGATGTCGGCTCGTCAGATAAGTTATGCTAATGCTATTCCGTACGCTGGATCAACCCCGTTAGATAGAAGTGGATTAGGATACGCAAACTGAATGCGGTGCACATATTGAATGCCATAAAAGTCATCCGGCCCAAACCAACTAGCTTTTCATGAGCATATTGGGCGTTTTTATGCCATTTGGTACACAAAAAGGAAAGGACTCTAAAAGGGACACAAGTAGATAAGTCCATTCTGGTTGTAGAAATTTCCTGGTATGGGAGAATGGTGGTCCGTACGTACAGGAAGCTTTCCACGTCACATGTATAACGTAAGACAAATATTTTTAATCAAGGAGTTTTGATACTTCGTAAAGCTTACATTATTTCGGTAGTACCTGGTTTTCTGCTCTAGAAACGCATGCGCACCTATTTTTTCAATTTCAGAACCAGTTCGCTTTGAGGTCATAGTAGTTATTGGAAAGAGCAAACATTTTCGGATTACTAACAAACTCCGGTCTTATGTTTATAACTAAAATGTCCTGAAATTTGACGGAGCTATTTTCAAGAAATACCAATAACAATGCTCAAAGAGCTGTTATCTGTAGGGTATAAAGGTTTTGCAGATATATCAAGGAAGATATGTGCATACACAAGGTGTCCCATTTTAATATTCCCACCAAAATATTTGGAAACGCACCCTATAAAAAGACTTAACACAGAACTTGAACAGTTTAAAGGAGACAAAATAATAATGTGATCGACATGCGGAAATTTTTAGATAGTGTCCCCTTTTTTACATCGGTATTAGGAGGAGAAAACGTCCAACCACCACCATGACCTTGACAATTTTCTTCCAGGCCATTTTTAAGTCCAGTCAAGACGTTGAAAACAATTTGCACTAACAAAATATTTGTCAGCACAGTTATGATGTTTGTGGAGATAACTCATATGTGACCTTGACCGTGACGTCGAACATGGATTCCATGGTCAAGTCAACATTTCCACAGCAAAGCTTTCATTTGTACACTTGAAATGGCAAAACCAGAAAATTTCGATGTATCAAGCTTGAATGTTATTGAGGTCAAGGTCACATTTGGGCGTGAAATTTCCTGCTTTTTGCATTTCCATTATATACATGAGTAGTTTTCGTTGGAAATTTTGACATGTCATTCAAGGCTATAGTCAAGGTCACCTTTGTGTGATCTTACAAGCCTCACAAATCTGTGTTCTAATATTGTTTTCAAAATCTTGATTTCAAATTGAAATTTATTTGAAGGCTATAGTCGAGATCAAGGTCAACTTTCCAACGTAAGATTGCCTCCTCTTTTGAATTCTGATGTAAAAAAGCAGGAGTTCCTTTGGAAAATATTAACTTCACCATCATTTTGCCCTCTACAACTCTTGTTTGAAGCTCTGTTCTCCTGAATGCGTAGTTTCAGAGATATGTATGTGCTGATGTTGAAATGGGACACCCTGTATAATACGTGGGAAGTATTGAGTGAATTTATTTTATTAAACTTTTTTTTCTTGATAGCTGCAGCTGTTCCTAACCCTTAACAACACAGGTTGTTTACACAAGTTTTGAGCTATCTGTCTGACATTGTGGTTTCCAAAAGAATGGAGTCACTCTGATTAAATAGTTTGAGGCAGTTTTATACTAAATATACCTATACGAATCGCAATAAATATTATACATGCAGTATTTATTCAATACCCTTTGCAACAGGCTCGTTGTCCGTACTCTCACAGCAAGCTTCTAATATTCCAGTGTAAAGTATGCTAATAGTTAACTAGCTTGGGATGGCTTTATATTTCGTGTAGCTTGGTACTCAAGAATACTAATCTGGCGAGGAAACTCCCTTAATAAAAAGTCTCCAAGGTCTAAAAGCAAATATACGGGGAAATCTTTACGTTAAACGAGTCTAACAGGTGCGTAAAGTTGCCAGTGCTAGAAGCGTATAAATCGCCTACAACTAATTCTTTATCCTTCAAATAAATTTAAGCACTCGAATCCTGTCATTCCTTGACAACGATGTAGATGTTCTTTAGTTACCTTCACACAGTGGTCTAGATCACCATCAATCTGGCAATGTCTAAGGTCTAAGGCATTTATAGGATTCCCAGTATAAAATCGCTTTTTGGATCGGTAATTTCAAATCTGGAATTAAGCTGAACAGTTGGGCCCAATGGACATTTAGGTTTATGCGAGTCCAATCAGAGGTCAATTAGTCATCTGGAGGTCATTTCAAGGTCACACAGAATACCAATTCAATAATTATAATCTGTCGAGTCAAGATGCGTGTTACATAGGTTTTGGTGGTCATTGAATAATATAATATAAATAATAAAGAAGTTGAATTACCATATACGACCAGCTGCAATAAAATGGCAGTTTATAGGGTTATGTTTCTCGATAGTTCGCAAAAGATTTTATGAGGCAGAAACTTCAAGGCTCACAAACATAATTTATCACGATTAAAGAACTGAAGCCAAAACTCGTTCAGCTCACGGTAAGCAAGAAGACAACAACAACAATGACAGCTTCTTACTACATCAAATGAAAGTTTGTAATTTTTTTATTATGATCCATATCCAGATGTTCAACTATTTTCGACACGCAATACAACGGATGATACAGAAACTGCCCAATTTTTCGTTGAAAAGTAGTGTCGACCAAAAACTTCAAACCTGTTAGTCTACCATGGTACAGCTCATGTGAGTAAAGTTCTGATCCCATGTCCTACTTCTTATTTAATGAATTAATTTCAAAATAGGATATATTTTTTATTTATTTCCTATACTTGGTTTTTCAGTTGTCGTCCGTTTTTCGAATAGACCACGTCAGCCTATATTAACCCTTTTGATGTAATTTTTCTGTAATTTTACACACAGTATAGTAAAAATAGGAATATATTCACTAAATATCATACCAGGTTATGTTGCTTAGTTTTTCCTCCTCTCAGCAGCTATCCATTTATTTCTGTGCTTTAATTTCGTAGGAACTGTATGAAATTTGTATGTGCTATTTTCCATTGCTTTTGCAGTTCATAAAGCAGCATATATAGTGTCTTATTTAGAGAATTTGAAAACTCTATACATTAAACATTTAATAAAAGTGTGGAATTTTTTGAAAAGCAGCAATTTGACACATTTTAATCCTGAGTTATTTCACATCTCTGCCACATCGTTGCGATTCATTTGTCACCATCCACTTCACACGTGGCGAATAGATTACACTGCTGTATTTGCAGTTATTCTCACTGCCACAAGGTCATGTGCCATAAACTATAAGTCACAGATGCCTTATGTTTTATGTAATACAAAATACCCCTGCCTGTATCATATATCGCAAATAACTGCATGGAAACCGTCTGTTGCGGACAAATCCAAGAGTCAAATATATGCATAACCTCAATGGCAGCAGCCCTGACCATCGAAAATCGAAATCTCCCGCCTGACATTTCAAATCTCTCAGGAATAAACAGGTATTTATAGTGTCGGAGAATATCATGATGGATCGATGGGGTAACAGGACTGGATCTGAACTGGAAATAAATTGAGTGTTCACGGAATACGTTGCAGTCAAAAAAGTTTCTAGATTTGAAAAAGTACCAGACGTCCATAAAGAACCGTGATATTTGTATATACAACGCAAGTGATATCAAAGAGGGACATAGCATGTGTTTGTTTTTTCAGAAATAACGTATTTATGAGATTTTTTCTACCAGCGCCAGCGTGCAAAAAGCAGCACGCGTAACTTTTCTGCACGGATTACGTGTTATTCCTATTAAATTGAATATTTTTGCTAATACAATGATTTGTTCAGTTACTTATTTAGTCATTCTTTTGTTCCTTAGCCTGAACCTCACACACAGATCGAGTGACCAAATCACGTTGACTTAAATCACATCAGCTTGAAAAAAACATGCATATTTTTCATCAACCTTACGTCATTTAACAATAAGCAGAGATATCGGATTGTTTGTTGCTATGGTTAGACTCAAATTTGTTTGTCAAACATCCTTGTCAAATACGAATCTCTGTCGTCTCACTTTAAACGCGTATTATCTTTAACGTCACGGAAAATAATCAATTTTGCTGAGGCAGACGATATTTTGAAAGCCGCAAATGTTGCAACGCTAGAACTTTTACCCGCAAAATCCAAAGAACGCTACGAAAAGGAGCACGGGAACTTTGACAAGTGGTGCCAGTCCAAGAACGTATCCTCAACCAAGGAAGAAGTCTTCCCTCGCTTATTTTGCAGACATAGCCAAAGTCACTAAACCTTCAACATTATGGGCACGTTATTATATGTTGAAAGCTACGCTCAAAATAAGAAGAAACGTCGATATTGGAAAATATGATCTTTAATCAAAAAACAAAATAATGGGTTCGCCCAAAAAAAGTCAAAAATTTTCCCGGCAGCAGACGTGGCCATTTTTCAGTAAAGCTACAGATGATATTGATCCCATGGTAAAAGTAGCTAAAATGTTTGGATTAGCTGGCGCCTGTCGGCGGGATGAATTGGCACACATAGAAGTCGACGATATAGAAGATAATAACGTGTATTGTCACAAAATACAGGTAAATATCAAATTTTGTGCACAGTAAACATAAAGCACCCAAAAAAAGTTTGCACTTGCGTTTGGGTTTGTTAAAATATAATAATCTAATAGGTGAGCCTCTACATAGAAAATCACTTGAATAAGTAATCTCCCTATGGAGAATCAATTTTAGAATTAATTTTTGGATTACATCAACCTTTTTGTAATTATTATTCATAACTCCCCCCCAAGCCAAAATTCCGTAAAGTAATAGAGGATAAACAAGAGCATAATATAGTTTATATAGATATTTCTTATCTAGAATATCTCTGAAGTACCTGAATTTTGGAATAATACATCTCAGCCTCTTCACAAGGTACTCTGTATTGGTATCCCATTTTAAGTGTTTGTCTAAAATCACGCCTAAGTATTTTATTTTATCGGTTGACTGAATCTGTCTGAGACCACTGCTTGTATGAACTTTAAGTTTTTTAAATTGTGGTGAGCGCCTGTCGCTACAAGAAAATGCTATGTAGTGTGTGCTTTGTTGTAACTAATTGTCATAGGTCTTTCCGAAAAGAAATTTATAAATGTTTTGAAATCATGTTCGATTGTGGTGTATGCCACTGGTTGCTTTCATAGAGAATAGCTGTATCATCCGCAAAACCGATAACTTTACCTGTACTACTTATTTTGAACAAATTGTTGATAAATAGATTAAATAAAATGGGTCCTAATACTGAGCCTTGAGATACACCGTATGATATATGGGGTTCACTGAATGTGTTATTAATTTTGACGCACTGTTTTCGATTTGACAAATAATTTTCTATAAGTTTGTATGTTATTCCCCGGAAACCTAAGTTTTCTAAAGTTCTTAAAAGTGATTCATGGGTAATAGAGTCGAATGCCTTTGCAAAGTCAACAAAAACACATGCAGTTGGATTGCCAATATCGAGATTCGTGTATATTTTACTGGTTAATTTTACAACAGCATCTTGAGCAGATTTGCCTTCTTGAAAACCATATTGCTGTTTCGCTATTAAGTTATATTTTTTTGCAAATTCGGTGAATCGTTTTTTTAACACTTTTTCAAATATTTTAGAAAAATTTGTTAAGATGGAAATTGGTCGATAGTTGACGGGTTTTTCTCTTTCTTCAGATTTAAATATTGGTTTTACCATAGCGTGTTTTAAACATGTAGGGAATACTCCTTTATTCATACAAGAATTTATCAAATAGGACAGTATGCCGCATATGTTGGAATTTATTCTCTTGAGAGTATATGGTGTTATATTATCTAGACCTGGAGATTTTCTTAATTTCAATTCATTGATTATTGTCTTTATTTCATGCGTATCGATCGGTTCCAGATATAATGAGTTATATAATCTGGTCTTACTATAATTCAATATCTCCGCGTCTTTTATGTTTTCTGACAACCTTTTCCCGATTTTTGAAAAATATTCACAAAATTCATTTGATATATCTACATCATTACTCACTAGTTCACCATTTTCTTTTCTAGTTGTACTAATTTTGTTGTTTTGTTTTTTGCCTTGTGTTTTATAGATAAATTGCCACATTTTGGACGAAGAATTTTGTAGATTATCAAACTCTTCTTGGAGATATTTAATTTTAGCCTCTTTAATTATTTTTGTCAGTCTGCTTCGATATGATTTAAATTCATTCAAAAGTTTAACATCATAAGGGTATTTTTTCCTTATATATACGTAATTCTATTTTTTTGTTGATGGAGGTAATAATCCCTTTTGATATCCATGCTTGTCTTTTCATTTGTGTTCGTGAAATCTTTACTGTTTTGGTGCATTCAGCAATATGGCCTTCAATGCTAGATATAAAAAGGACAAATGCAATTTTTGTATTATTCACTGTCTTTTCAATTTTGGTTGATGTACTTTCAAGATCGATTTTGAGCAAAGTAGGAAAATGATCAGAAAGTTTGTATTTTAGAATTGCTGAATATATTTTGTCAAGTTCTAAACGTGAATTTATAAACATATGATCTATATAGCTCCCACTATTTCCCTCAACTATTGTCATTTCGTTAATGGCTGACAGGTAACCATGTTGTGTAATATGTTAATGTTAAAGTCTCCAATGAATAAGTTGATGTCAAATTTTCTACTGCTCTCTAGATAATCATGTAATTGACCATTAAATGTTGTTACAGATATACAGTGTTATTTACACACCAATGATCTGTATCCATTTATTCTTCTTTTGAAGAATAAGTCGTAAAAGTTTTGTTTGAGTTATATTAATAATTTCATACCCACTGTCCAAATTTTGTCTTACGTAAATCAGAACACCGCCATTTTTAACAAAACTACCATCGTTATAATATAAATCATAATTGGGAATTTCGATCAATACCTTAAATGTTTCAGTTAGCACTATAACATCAAATTTAAAATCTACTATGTCCAACAAGGCATGGAGTTCATTCATATTTCTATGAATCAATATTATTAGAAAAACGTAACTTTGTTATAGGTAAATCGTCTAAAATATTTGTCCAAATTCTGTAATGCATCTACTCATAAAAAGTCCTTTGCAATTTAGAATAAAATTATTGATATATGTCTTTGTTGGAAAAATTTAAATACAGATAAAGATATGTTTTTAATAGTAAGGACATCTAAAGACACAGAACCAGAATATTCGTGATATCGGAAGAATTCTTAAATGTTAAATATTAAGAGCTGTACCGCAAATATGTCCACACCACATCGTAGATTTTTCCTACAATATAAATACCAGGTATTTGCCTCTTAATGCGTCTGGGTCAATACCAAAATAGTCGCTAAAATCGTCGGTTGTTTGGGACCCAATCCTGAGCTTTAGACCGGACCTAGTTTGAAGAGATCCTCTATCCACAATGTTGGCAGACTCTGGTGTGGATAGTGATATCTCCGACATCAAATGACACGGCGGCTCGAAATCTGCATCTGTGGCTGGAGGGTATTAGCCGAATCGTTAAAAAATAAGAAGGATTATTTCAAGAAGGTCCTGAAAAAAAACTCACATTTCTGCAGGACTTTCTAGAGAACACGAAATTTTAGAGAAACCAACGCCGGCAGCGCTAGTTCTGCTTAGAGAACGCTTACAAGTTTTCATAATCCAAATAACTGTTGTTTTACTTTTAATATTGTTAGTAATTAGGTATTATAAATGAATTGTTGATGTTAATGGTGCTGATGATATTGATTTTATAATTATTAAATTTCTAATAATACATAGTACGTATTTAAAATTCCGAGCTTATTATTTTCTCGCGCTGCGCAGTTAAAAAAAATTTTATACCTAACACTTGCGGAAACTGTATTTTCCGCCCTTGACGGCTTGCCCGAACTCAGAAAAAAGGACCACTTTCCGCACTGGTTAGATAAGTCACTATTTTGTTCTGCCTTAATCTTCGGTTTTCTTCAACCAAGTTTTCATCTACTGATACATTAAAAAACTCTTGATGTTTCAACCTCATTTGTGATTTTTTTCATCATCATTCTGTAATCCGGTTATAGATTATTTCTTCTTTTCTGTTGTTGCATATATACTATAGTTACGCTAAAACATTGAGACACCTTTACCAGAATATGTCAAAATTTCGTCCAAATTCGAGCGGTACTTTTGGAATTATACGGAGGCTCAATAATAGCGGACAGACTGATAGATAGATCGACAGACAGATAGACAGACAAGAACCGATGGTAAGTCTCGAAGCATTATATCTACAATCCAGAGTCCATTCTCGCTCCAACCCTGTGTTGGATTTAGTTCAAGTTAAAATGTATCTTGCCAGCCAGCACCTGGCCACCACTACCAGTGGAATTAACGTCGCACCAGACAAGATGTATTAATCATAACAAGCTGGGCGATAAATCACAGGCTGTTCAAGACGAGACGGTGCAGAATGAAAAACATGACTTTCAGTGGCCACTCCAAATTCAAGGCAGTCCATCAATGCCGCTGAGAGTTTTACAGGAAATAAAGAACTCTCGGGAATCGGCCGGGTAAATTCGGAAGTAAATTGGTGGCAATGGGAAAGAATCTATAAGAACTTACTTTTGCACCCAACGAATGAATGGAAGCGTTGTATTAGTAAAATGATTATAAAAATTTTGCTATGCTTTGATTTGTCGGTCAATTTAGTGTAACCACCTTCAAATTCTATCTAACGTTGGGTGACAGAAGAAACAAACATTTTGGACCTCAAAATTGAATATCAACAAAAAAAGCATTCATTCCAATATTAAACTCTTACCCCAATATTATCAGAATCATTATTAGCCTCACCATAGGCTGAGTAATATAGTAATACCTTCTGATGCGATACCAATCAAAGGGTGGTAGTTAGGTTACAAGTGCCATATAGGTATACATGGCATAAGAAAATTTGAAAGAGTTAGTCATAAGCTGAAAGAACTCCGGTGGCTAAGTATGAAGGATCGTTTTGAGATATTCACAATATGCTTTTATCATAAAATTTTAACTCTCATGCAGCCTCATTACCTCTACGAGAAAATAACATTCAGAAAAGACATCCATTCCGTAAATATTCGTTCGAAACAAAACATTACCGCTCCATTCCACAGAACTAAATTTTATGAAAGATCATTTACGTACAGGTATAATATGTATAAGCTATACAATCCTATCCCCCAGTACCTCAAATCATATGAAATTCACAAGTTCAAAGCGGTTTTGCGTGATTCTTACCTTGAATGTATAAAGTAGAATTATTCTTACTGCAGAATTTCAATTTTATTTTGTTTGCATTCTATTATTTTATTTATATTTTTTTTTCATATGATGCATAATGTACGTATATGTATTTATATATCATTCTAGACTTTTAAATTTACCACCACATTTTCTCTTTGCTCTTTTTTTTCAAAATTAATTGTCGCTCATATTGGCGTTTGTTTATGCGGTATGTATGGGTATATCTATATATTATTCTAGACTTTCTTTTTTTTAATTTATTACCACATTTCTCACTTTTCCATCTTATTTTTA